CCGACGACTTTGTTCGCGGCTAGAATCGCATTTGCACGACATATTGGGCTCCTTTAGATGCACGGGAAGCTGTTTGCGCCCCGCTTAACAGTGCAGGCAGTTGAGCTTCTGCTGAAGGCCTTCGGCGCCATGCGACAGGAGGAGCATATCATCTGCGTGCTCGAGATGAGATATACGCATGTAGAGCTTGATGGAGTCATGTGCATGCGCAAGCGTGTCGAAATCGGAGATGAACAGATTCCAGAGAGTCGGTGGGAACGGCTCGCCAATGAGGGCACTGGTCTGGGACGCAAACCCGTCGGAGAGCTTGTCGTTGAGGCGCGCGACGTAGCGCATCTGCTCATACAAAACCCGGAGCCGATTGATCGTGGGTCTATTCTCCTAAAGCAGCCGCCGACACGTCCGCTTTTTCTGTGGTGGAGGGAAGGTGCGATCTCGAGTCTGGCCATCCGCAGCAAGTCCCTATCCGCCGATGGGGAGGCATTGCTGATATCCACGAAAGCGATGTAGACGCGCTTATCAGCATGGCGTTCCTTTCCAGCATTGTACGAAGGTTGAAGACGTTGCTGTTCGTACGAATGTAGTGACGGAAGCCGTTTTGCGCGGGAGAGGGGGGGACAGGATACAGCACCGCTCGGCCCAGTCGTATAGACGTTTGTGTATGAGCATGGTCAGCATTTCGAGCATCACGCACTCGAGCCCGACAGTACGGTAGCTGGAAGGATCATTCGCTGGTAATTGTGGCTTCAGGATGCCCGCGATAGCTGCAAGAAGCCATACGGACGGCGCGGAGTGTGGAGCGACACTGTCGTTGGATAGCAATGCTAGTTCATCGTTGGGGAGGACCATTGGGAGCGACTTGCCGACTTCGTCCAACCCGGGCCTGCCAGACTTGACGTTTTCCTTGATCTCAGGCTCCAGGTAGGTGATGTCCACGGGGCCCAGAGGTGACCGGGCGAGAGAAGGGCAAGGCAGGCTCACGAGCGTCGTCGTTTGCCAGCAGATCCGCCTTCTCGTTTGCCTCTGTTCCCGGTCTGACTGTGCCGCATCCATCTCACGCAAGCGAGGAGTATGTCGCCCTATGGACGGTCCCAACCGACGGTGTCTCTGACAGGGCCTCGGTGCGTGAACGAAACGAACACCCACTGGGAGTACGAGGAGATGAAGAGGGACGGTCAGGAGAGCAGCTCGCAAGGGCACAGAGGTCCAGGATAGTTTCGTTTGATCGTGGGGACACAAACGCCACAGCATCCATTCCAAGAAATACGCCAGCACCCGCGACTGCGCCGTGCTTTCCATCACTACGGCACAAATCTTCCGGGCAGATAATAGTCTCTCGAGAGATACTGTGCACCTCTCCGTAGATAGCGACCATTCGTGGACCCACGTGCTTGCGGAACAAGAGCGCGATATGCCTTGTCGAGCTCAGGATCCATGGGTAGATCGAGGAGCGCCATCTTGCGCTTGCCACAGCGAGCTACATGCACCTCCAGAGCACCGACGAGATCCTGGCCGTATGCGACGATATCAATAACGAGCGAGCGCGTGGTCTGACGCCTGCTCCCTGTCCAAAACCTGCAGATCGAGGATGGCTCGAGCTGCTGACGCATTGACAGCGGCATAGTCCGCCACCGAGTGCCAACGTCGGTGAAGTGTGATGGACTGGGATGGAGCCCTTCCGTGCCATTCAAGAAGTACTCTTCGTGGCTCGACGACCATCCATAATATGACATTGTCCCTGCATACGTGGGAAACGAGTTCGGCACGTCTGAACAGTCCTGAACGAAAGATCACCGCAAGTCCCACACCCCTGCTTGTAACGCACAGCGGCCGGGCCAGAGACGACTAAGCATTCGTATCCGGGAGGTGGATCGAGGAAGCTCTCCATCGTGCGTGAGCTGAGTCTTGGAAAAGGTTCAGGTCAAATTGATCAATTATTAGGCGAGGGTCGCGGTCCAAGAGGTATGTATGTAGGTTGCCGTCGATATTCGATGACTGCACGGAGATAAGATACGGGCGATCGCCTTCGAGAGGGCACTATACATCGTACGGTGAGGCAGGCATAGACGAGAAAAACAGTGGTGCATTCATACAAGGAACTTCAGTCGGCTGTGATATCATCTCCACTCATACGCCTGTTCTAAGTCTGAGCTGAGACTTGTTCCACGTCTCTCTAAAGCGAACTCCAATTTCGACATCATCAACGGGGCAGCAAGATAGCTTGGGCTCGTAAACAGCCTGGCGGCACATCGGCTTGAGCGATGAGCAGTGCGGGGTACTGCCTCGAGAGGTCGTGCGTAGTACGGGCAAGACCGCTCACTAGGCCGATCTGAACCCATCTAGATACCCCCTCACGGCGGCCACCACGATTGCCCGTGCGTCGGAAGGGTGCAGGCGTGGCTGCGAGAGGCGTGACCACGGGAGGAGGAGCCACGTTCGGGGATGGCTGCATCGCGGAGACCAGCGAGGTCGGCAAGGGAAGGCGGCTGAGCGTACGCCGGCAGCATGACCCATGCGCAATCCTGGGCGGACACAGCAGCTTGCGTGGGGACCAAGTCTGTGGGGTCGGCACCGAGGATGTGGCGTGAGAGGGTGCGTCAGCCTAGTGCAAACGCGAAGGTGAGAACAAGAGCGAGTAGCGAAGGCGATGCAGTGGTCCATTGACTCACAGGGGCATTCTGAAGCGAAGACAGTTGACTGTTGGTGGCGGCAAGGGTGGTAGCGGGCACGGGCACTGATGGCTGGTGAACGCTATTAGAGCAGGTCGCGCGCATGCAGCGAACAGCAACTCACGGGTGCGCGCGATGGCGCAGGGTCCGCGTACAAGTCCTCCAGAAGTGCGTGGTGCTTACTGGCACACTCGAGCTAGATCAATCAATAAGTCGTAAGCACATGTACATATAGGCGGCCGACATACCATTTTGGCAAACTTCGTGAGTGATGTAAGACGACGACCCGAGTCGTTGTCCATTATCACCAAGCTGATGAATAGTTGAGCATATAGATATATCAGAGAGGGAACAGGTACATACAACGTAAAGAATTTGGCTTCGGGTCGCGGATTGGTGTCCGTAGGTGAAAATCGATGCCGCGGACGTACGCCTCCACAGCGGCGGCAGAGCGTTCTAGATCGTTGCCAATTGTGGACCGAGTTTAGTAGGAGAGGTAGCGTAAGAGACCAGTATAGGCGCGAGGGTACTGAGGGCGTGAAAGGACGGGTGCGAGACAGCAGGGAGACAGCGCAGCAAGGGAGGCGCAGTGCCTGCAGTACTCAGCGCCATGGTGGAATGAGGATGGTGGTGATAACAGTCAAGTAGTAGTTGTTGTCGTTTCACCACCTGAGTCCAGCGGAACCAGCTAGCCCGTGTTCCCACGTGTGACTCGGACCGCCCTCCTCCGAGTCGTACGTGTCGAGTCGCTACCCAGTACGTGATCGTATAACTGGAGCTTGTCATGTATGTACTTCAGTACCTCGTACTGTACAAATACGGTCTTCGCTTGCTCCCACCTCCTCCCTCTAGCAGTACTTACTCTACATGCCATTTCTGCGTGGATTCTCGACGTCGGTGTGCCCTGCGCCCATCGTTCTTGGCACTCGACCGCCACCATCAGCATATTTAGCAACAGTGATGGCTGTCTATTTTTCTTCACCCAGAGGGTGGCGACCAATGACAAAGTTGACCGTATTGTTTCGAAACAGCGGCTTTGATAGTATCGCCTATGCTCGCATCAAGACCAAAACGCTCGCACTTGATCCCCGCAGTGACCGACTAGTCACTCAGAGTACCTCTCCTCGGGGAGATGATTGCTTGCCCACGGGTGATCGCGAGGCGCACGGGCAGTGGGAGCTCTTTTCGCCGCTGATCGGCACGCGCGGGCACGACGCGGTCCGCCAGCCCAACTTATTCAAGGGTTTCGAATAGTGTGATATTTTGTAGCGGGAACTCATGAAGCCGTGAGCGACTTGGATATGATTACCGCCTATGTAGACGGCATCGTGGTGTAGATGCAGGCAAGCGTGGCTCGGTATCACGGTGTCTTGATACACCGATGTAGTCGCTGCTGTCAGACAGCAAAAGCATAGAGCTGAAACAAGATAAGATGTCATTGTTGACTGATAGGTATGTCCACGTCCTTTGCTTTCGCAGCCACCTCCGCACTATATCCTCCATTTCTACCACGAGGGAAAGGGCGCAGCCTAAGCACTCTGGCCGACCTCTCGTAGATCCGTTCCCGCTCTCGTCGAGAGGGTCGAGCGAGCCACCCTACCATGGTGCGCAGTTGTGC